AGGTGGGCTGGGTGGGCGGGGGTGGGGCCGAGCATCCTGTCGAGAATGTACAGCGCATCCTCTCCCAGACACTAGGTTACCGTGTGGCAGGAAACTTCGCTGTCACCCACACTGACCCACCAGGAAACTCAGGAAACCGACATTTTGTATTTCCCGATCCAACACTTAATACAGCAACAAGGACAGAGCGAGAGCTCCTATGGGGGTGACAGGCTGGGTGGCGGACACTGTCACTGTTCCCGAGGGCTGATCGTGCGCCACGACCGCCGCGTGAGGCTTGGCCCGGGCTGCCGTCAAGCCTGCAGCTATTTCTTTGACTTGATTCTTGGGGGCTGTATCCACGTCCCCTCCCTCCCCCTCTGTTCCTCCCTTTGCCAATCGCTACACCTGCCCCCAACGCTACATCCCCAAACGCGGGTGCCCAAGCTACCGCTCCAGCGTGGGACACCCACAAAGTGCCCCAGGGGGTCGGTGCCTCGATGGTGACTAGGGCTGAAAACATGCGTGATTTGCAAAATGAAGTTCAAGTGGGGACCTAGCATCAGAGTAAGGGGAACCCTGTCGTGTGGGAGCCTAGGAGGTGGAGGGCGGGGCCGGGCAGGTGGGTGCAGGCAGCTGCCGGGGCCCGGCGCCCGCACTCAGCACTGCCCAGCATGGCCTCACCTTCACAGCGTACTCGGCGTCCGTGGCTCTGTGCACGCACCGCTTGCACACGGAGTAGGAGCCCACCCCGATGTCCTCCTTGACCTCGTAGCCGTCGGAGAAGTGGACGTTGTCCCCGTGCAGCTGCTGCGGGATGGAGGCAGGGCCCTCAGCTCTAGTGGGATGGGGGGGTGCAGGGGGGAGGGGAGGGGCACACAGGGCAGGCGCAATGGGGTCCAGGCTGTGCGCCCCAACCCTGAGGCCGGGGGACGAGGCCCTCAGAGCTCTCTCATGGGGGAGGCACATAGCACAGGCATAAAGGGGGGTCTGAATTGTGCGCCTCAACCCGGAGGCCGGGAGGGGCGAGTCCTCTGGCCAAGGCCACAGAGTTAGGACGACGGTCCCCATCGGACCCCAGCCTCCCCCGCCTCTCGGTCACGACCCTTTCAGATACCGCGGGGCTGGCGGCTGGAGGCCAGTTTCCCCAGCAGTGGAGGGAGAATCTGGGAGCAGGAGGGGACAGCGCCCGGGAGGCCCAGCGTGGGGCTCAGACGCTGCGTCCCGCACGCGTGTCTGCGTGTCGACATCTAAGTGGAAATCTGACCCCATGAGGGCCCGTCACCACCACGTACAAGCGCCGAGGCTGGGCGCCCCCTCCCAGCCAGCGCCCCCTCGGACATCCTGCTCTCTTCCCCAGAGGGCGGCGGGGAGAGAAACGTGGAGCCCAGCGCCCCACGCGCCCCAACTGCGTTAGACGCAACGTCATCATGGTTTCTGCGTGGAGTCCTCCCTGTCCGGTTGGGTTTATAAGGGAGGAAACTACAAAAAGTCACCTTCCTGACCTCCCACAGGCACATCTCATGGCAGGGACGTGGCTCCCACACCCGGAGCCGCCTCCTGGGTCCCGGGT